CCGGGCTGGCTTTGAACCGCGATCCTCAGATCTCAGCCTCCTGAGTAGCTAGGATTACAGGCGTGAGCCACCAGCGCCCGGCTACTCTTTTTTTTTTTTTTTAATTGTGAAAATACTGTACAGAGGGGTTAAAATTACATGGGCAAGATAATGAGTACATTTCTTATCAAGCATTGTAGCCTCCTTTGTTTCCCCTTCCCATCCCTTCCCATTCTTCCCTCCCGCGCCCCCCCCCCAGACTCTTCAATTAATCACTCAAAAAGCTAGAAGTGAACATGTGGCTCAAGTGGTAGAGCACCATTCTTGATTGAAAAAGCTCAGAACTCAAGGCCCTGAGTTTAAGGCCCAGTACTTGCATGCATGTACACACACACACACACACACACACACACACAGAATCAGGATCTGAAGTGGAAGTAGCAGAATCAAAGCCAGGCTGATTGAAAAGACATGGAAGGAGCTCCCAGCATCACTGGTGGCTGCGCAGAGGTGGGTGGGAGTCAGGCTAAGGAAACAGGCAGAAGGCCAACAGCTGGGATAGCAGCCAAGAGCAGGCCCTGGGAAGCAGCCAGGGTAGAGGTACCATCCTCAACCCTGAGCTCTCTGTTGCCCTCTTCTCCGGGTCATTTACTACAGATCTAGCATTGAAGGCCGAGCCCAGTCACATGACCATGGGTGGAAGATGAGGGAGGGTTTGGGCGTTTTGTCTTCTAGAAAGAGAAGCAGCTTCTATTCTGCTTAGGATTCTCATTGTCCCCCAAACACACACAGGCAGGGCAGTTGTCCTCTGCACAAATCTGATGTTTTTGCTTTTCTTTGTTTTGCGTTTTGTTTTGCTTTGTTGGAGATAGGGTCTCAATATGTAGCCCAGGTTAGCTTCCAACTCAAGATTCCCTTCCCTTTAACCGTTCAAATGCTGGAATTATAGGCATGAGCCATCATGCCTGGCTTTACTCATGAACTGTGACCTTGGAATTTATCCTATAGGTAAAAATATAAAAATGAAGAAGGATATATTTAAAGGGATTTTTATGACAGTGTTGGTTGTAATATGAAAAACATGGTATTTCTTCCATTAGCAAGGAACAGGTGAAGTAGATTATGGCATCGCCACATAAATGGGGCTGATAGAAAAGTCATCAAAAGCAAGTGGGGAGACCTCCAGGACATATTGCTTCTTTGGGGAAGGTTGGGGGGAGCAGGGCCGATGAACAACAGCTCACCTGCTTCCTTTTGCATATTTTTTGGGGGGAAGGGGCACCTGTGTCTGCTCAAGAACACTGTACGCTTCATTCCAGCAGTATCCGGGTAGCTTTGGGGATGGCCTTGATATCCCTAGCACTCAGTAATTACCAGGATGAAGAGAATGAATGAATACAACAAGAAATGGAGGGGAAGAAACCCCTGGGTTTCTTGTATGGCTGTTATTTTATTTTTTTCATATTTATTTTTGGTGATACTGGGATTGAACTTAGAGCTTCATGCTTGCTAAGCAGGTCCTCTGCTACTTGAGACAGGCCCTCAGCCCTTTTTTGTGCTATGGTTATTATTTTTTTACCCGGTCATGGGGCTTGAACTCAGGGCTTGAATGCTGTCCCTCAGCTCTTCAGCTGAGCCACTTGAGCCACAGTGCCACTTCCAGTTTTCTGAGTGATTTATTGGAGATAATAGTCTTATGGACTTTCCTGCCTGGGCTGGCTTTGAACCGCTATTCTCAGATCTCAGCCTCCTGAGTAGGTAGGATTACAGGTGTGAGCCAACTATGCCCGGCTATGCTCTGGTTATTTTTGAGATAGGTTCTTGCTTTTAGCCCAGGCCAGTTTGGACCACAATCCTCCTATTTTATGTTTTCAATTTGTAGCTGGGATGGTAGGTGTTAATATACCCAGCTTTTTCTGTTGACAAGGGGGTCTTGCAAACTTTTTATGTGAACTGGCATAGAACCTAGAACCTTTTCATTTTAGATTCCCGAGTAACTAGGATTAGAGGCAGGAACCACATATAAAGTCTGGAGCCTTTTTATGTTTTTGTACTATAACATTTTTAGAACTATAAATAAAGAGTTTTGTGATGATGGCAACTGCTAACCCCATCATCATCACCATAAAACCAATACAAATGAGAGGGATATCTATGTCCATAAGGAAAACAAAACAAAAAAGGATGAGAAAAAACAGTTGAACAGCATGAGGGAACCCTTTGTAAAAGTAGAATATGAAACTCATATGACCTTGTTTTGTGTGTGTGTGTGTGTGTGTGTGTTAGTGATACTGGAGACTAAGCACAGAGCCTTTGCTTTGGTAAAAAGGTGCTCTTCCACTTGAGCCACACTTCCAGCCCTTTTCCAAGGTAAGGTCTTTTGTTGTTGTTGTTCTTGAGGCTTGAACTCAGGGCCTACATGCTATTCCTGAGTTCTTTTGCTCAAGGTTAGCACTCTACCACTCTACAGTACCTAGTTTTCTGGTGGTTAACTGGAAATAAGAATCTCGTGGGAATTTTTCTGCCTGGGCTGGCTTTGAACTATGAGCCTCAGGGCTCAGCCTCCTGAGTAGCTAGGTTTACAGCCATGAGAAACCGGTGCCCAGAATCCAAAGTAAGGTCTTACTGGCTTTATGCCAGGCTGACCTGGGTTTTGGTCCTCCTACTTTAGCTTCTCAGTGTCTCTGGGGATGATGGTCATGTGCCACTGTGTCCAGCTATTGGTTGAGGTGCAGTCTCTTGTAATTTTTTGCCTAAGCTGGCCTGGAACTGAAATACTGGGGACTCTCCCTCCCAAGTAACTAGATTATAGGTGTGCCCCAGCTGCACACCTGCCCCCATTTTGTCTTAATTACCCTTTGAAGGTCTACCTCCAAATAAGATCATATTCTAATATACCTAGGATTAGGATGTCAAAGTATCTTTTATGGTTCAAGGTATAATAATGACATTCGGTCACAATTGAGAGCAAATAACTCTAACACTTAATGGTTTATAGTGACCATTTTGTTATCCTGAAGAAATGATTAGAAATCCAGACACTGGGAGCTGGGAAGGTGGCTCAGTGGTAGAGTGGTTGCCTTACATGCATGAGGCCCTGGGTTCGATTCCTCAGCACCACATAAGCAGAAAAAAAAAGCCGGAAGTGGCGCTGTGGCTCAAGTGGTAGAGCGCTAGCCTTGAGGTGAAGAGCTGAGGGACAGCGCCCAGGCCCAGAGTTCAGAAAAAAAAAAAAAAAAAAAAGACAAAAAGAAAATAGTTGATAGGTTTGGTTACATTAAAATTTTAAGTCAATTTAAGATGCCGTAAAGTTAAAGCAAACGTAACAAGGGACTAAAATCAAAATTATGTGGCGAATACAAGTTTTAAAGAAAAACCAGCTGAATAGGTAAGTGAGGAAATGGTACACATGGGCAGTTCCCCAAAGAGGAAGTATGAGGAGATGCCAACTTTTTTTTTCCCTATCAGATTGGCAAAAAGTAAGACTGTTAATGATAAGCTTTGGCTGAATTAGGGGGAAATGAGTACTTCCAATCCAAGATGGAGGCAGAGGAACAGCTACTTTTGAGAGCAGTTTAACAGCTTTTATTAAAAACTCAATGTGCTGTTTAGAAATTTTATGGCATGGCCAGGCACCAGCAGCTCACCCTTGTAATCTTAACTACTACTGAGACTGAGAATTTCAATTCAAACCCAGGCAGGGCAGGGAAATCCCTGAAACTCTTATCTTCAGTTAACCAGCCCCCCCCCCAAAAAAAGGAGCTGGAAGTGGAACTGTGGCTTAAGTGCTAGAGCTCTAACCTTAAGTGAATTAACTTAGGGACTGCACCCAGAGCCTGAATGCTAGTGCCAGTATAGCAACACAAGCATGCGTGTGTGTGCACACGCACACACACCCACAGAGCGCTTGTGTAAACCAGCAACAGTGTTTGTGCCACTAACTTGCGTTCAGCTTGTAAGTTTAAAGGAAACAGCGGTGCCAGGCTTATGCCCTGGGCAGGACCAGCTCCACCTGTCCAAGGCCTGAGTGGGTGAGGATTTCCATCTCCCCCTCCTACTCATCTATCCATCTGTGTTTGCTGTTTCTCTGCAGGCCCAGGCCTTGTCATCCTCCAGTAAATTTGAAGCAGAGTTAAAAGCTGAGCAAGAAGAACGGAAGCGGGAGGAGGAGGAGAGGCGGCTACGCCGAGCGGCCTTCAAGGAGCTCAAGGCTGCCTTCAGCACATAATGCTACCAACCTTGACCGATAACCACGCTGTGCCCTGCAGTCTCCCAGGGAAAGAGGACCCCTGCCAGTCCCCCCTCTTATGCCTCCTCCCCTACTCCAAGGACCCCTAGATCTTCCTCCTTAGCTTCTCAGGGGTGGCCAGAGGCTACATTGAAGTTTCCCAGTGCCTTGGCCCTTCCTTTCAAAGGCTTACTCCTCTGTCCTGCTCTCTAGCCAGGACCTGCCTTTTCTTGGCCACCTACACTTTTTTTCCCTCAACCCTTTCGTGGTTTCTGGTCAACCAGTAATCTGTTGGGTTCATTTGTACAGATTTTCTTTCTTTCGTGGTCCTCAGCGCACATGGTGCCCTTTCCTTGGGCTGTCTCTGTGCTTCTCCTTTTGTTCTCTTTTTGGTCAGTCTGCCAGCTGCTTCGGTTCTGTCTTCTGTGATGCTGGTGGGAGGCGTGGGGGGCGGGGCATGACCCATCCCCAACTCCATTAGGTGGAGGAAGTGCCCCTCAGTCCTGTCATCTCTCCTTCCCTCTCCTCCATGTCTTCCCATTCAGCACTTGTCTTCCATTCCTAAATACTGCGCTACAGAACTGTAACAATGAATCATGAGAAGTAAGAGACCGAAGCAGAAAGGTTCATGTTAACTCTGGTCCTATACAAATATCCCCTGGGCCCTTGGTGTTCCCAGGTGACGTCCCAAGTGATGGCCATGCGGACCCCCCCGCCTGTCCCCAGCATCTGCTCCAGGCGGTGAGGCAAGGCCATTCCCACCCACAGGTTGGCGTGTTGTAAGTTCTTGGGATTGCTCAGACATACTTGGAGTTTGTTGAGTGATTTTTTTTTAAAAGAAATTTCTAATACCAGATTTGTTACTTCTCTTTTGTAACCGCTGTATTTACAATAAAGAAATCATCTGTCTTTCTACCTTAACCTGTTTGGTTTTCAATAAACTGTGCAAATGAACTTGGCCATCCACCTCTGTGTGCCTCTGGTCATCTTTGAATTGGGAGAGAGTGGAGCGAGGCCCTGGGCGTCAAAGCCACAGGTAGGAATAGGAACTGGAGCCTGCTCTCCTTCTGGTGTTCACAGTGAGATGCTCTTAATTACTGGTTACATCTGGAGTTTCTTTTCTTTTTTTGTCAGCTCTGTGGCTTGAGTTCAGGGCCACTGTCCCTGAGCTTTTTTGTTCAAGGCTAGGGCTCTATCACTTTTCAGCCACAGCTCCACTTCTGGCTTTCTGGGGGTTAATTGGAGATAAGAGTCCCAAAGGCTTTCCTGCCTGGGCTGGCTTTGAACTGAGATCTTCAGATCGCAACCTCCTGAGTAGCCAGGATTGCAGGCATGAGCCATCAGCAACCTGCTATTGCAGGTAGCTCATGTCCATAATCCCAGCGTTTGGGAAGCTGCTGAGGTACAAGGACTGAGAGTTCGAGGCCAGCTTGAGCTATATAGCAAGACTCTGTTTCCACCCTCACCCTCCAAGAAAGTTAATTTCTTTTATATCTAGACACCTTAAACCTAGGTGAGGGCCAGTGCCTCTGTCTACACATATAATCCCAGGATGTTTGGGAGACCCATGTAAGGGCCTCCAGTAAGAACAATTTTCTCCCCAGAATCATTTTATTTCTGTACATACCAAAGACCCGTTGCCTGTCTGTCTGCCTGCTTCCTCCCTCTTCTTCCTCCTTCCCCTTTCCTTGGCTGGCTTTGACTCCCTTGTGCCTCTGCTCCCTGAGTGCTGAGATTACAGGTATGCGCTCTCACATCCAGTCTCTTTTACTAGCTAGGGTTACCTCACCCAGCGGTGGGAGGGAGCTGGAAAATGAATGGGGGCGTTTCTACTACCATTTCAAATGTCTCCAAAGGAGAGGAGAAGCTCAT